TTGTGTGTGTGTTGTTGTGTGTGTGTTTGTGTGTGTGTGTTTGTGTGTGTGTGTTTGTGTGTGTGTGTGTTGTGTGTGTGTGTTTGTGTGTGTGTGTTTGTGTGTGTGTGTTTGTGTGGTGTGTGTTTGTGTGGTGTGTTTGTGTGTGTGTGTTTGTGTGTTGTGTGTTTGTGTGTGTGTGTTTGTGTGTGTGTGTTGGTGTTGTGTGTGTGTGTGTGTTTGTGTGTGTGTGTTTGTGTGTGTGTGTTTGGTGTGTGTTGTGTTGTGTGTGTTTTTTTGTGTGTGTGTGTGTGTGTGCATTTGTGTGACCAAAGTAACATGAAAGGATTCAGGAGAACTGGTTAGCAAGACTCAAAGTTTTGGAGGTGGGAAGTACAGCTCTTGAAATGGTGTTGGCACACTTCTGGGAAGACGGTGATGGAGTGAGTGATGAAAGTTTCTTTTTTGGGTTACCCTGCCTCTGGAAAACTGGTTGTGTGAATTAAAAAAAAGCTTTAAGATGGGCAAAAACACAATTTTTCATTACAGTACATTGTACTGTTCTCCCTCACTTTATAGTAATTCACTTTATTCATAGTGGACCCTCGACCAACGTTGGCATCGTCTAACGTTAAATCCGACTAGCGATACATTTTAACGCAAAAATTTTGCCTCGACTAGCGCTAAAAAACCCGACCAACGCTATTCGTTCCGTTAGACTCTTCCACTTTGGCCTGAGCGCGCCTCTCTTGTCCCGTGGGTGCCAGTGTTTACAAGCCAGCCAGCCACCACGGTCCCATCCAAACATACAATTGGAACATTTCATATTATCACAAGTCCTAATGGAAGGGGATTCCCCTTCTAAAGACTAAGACCATCAACACACTTCCCTCCTCCCATCCCATCAATCATCACCAGATCTTCAATAAAGGTACGTGTCGTGTAACTGTGCATGTCGTCTTCAGTTTGTGTGTGTGTATTAAAATTAATTTTCATATGGTAAAAACAATTTTTTCTTCATGCTTTGGGGTGTCCTGCACGGATTAATTTGATTTCTATTATTTCTTATGGGGAAAATTAACTTGACTAACGATAATTTTGACCAACGATGAGCTCTCGGGAACGGATTAATAGCGTTAGTCGAGGGTCCACTGTATTGGGTATTATGCAATGTCCTATTCTCACTAATTTAGTACAGTATGTGATTTACAGCCACTTTGATTGGTAGCTCTGAGTGTATTGAAGATTGTGCAGTTGTTTATGGCCTGAGCGGGCTTGATACTGATACTCGGGACCTGCAACACACTTACAGCATAAAATGAGGGACACCTGTATTTAAATACAGTAGCTACTGTACAATAGTAGCTCTTGTTAATCCATGTAGGGTGTTGTGCTTACATTGTAGTACGGTGGACCTTCGAGTTTCGGCAGCCTCGACTTTAGTGAAATTTGACCTTCGGCGAGTGGGTTTTTTTTTTTTTTTTTTGGGGGGGGGGGGGAATTTGGCCTCTAGTTTCGTTAAAAAACATGCATTTTGGCGACCGTCTGGTACCTGTCCACCCGTCACCATGCACACAAAGCCAGTCTCCCATGCCATTCACTCAGTGTGCCATTGTTTACCAACACGTGACCATCACCCTGTGGGTTCGTACGTAATAATCCATTGTTTTTTGTGATTACAACTACTAAATAAGTCACCATGAGCTCAAGGAAAGCTAGTGCAAGCCCTTTGGTAAAGAAAGTGAGGAACTATAAAATTAAAGAAGGAAATCATTGAAAAATGAGTGGAGTGCGTGTTACAGAGCTTGCCAGGATGTATGGCAAGCCCCATTCAACCATCACTTCGATCGTGGCGAAAGGAAAGGAATTAGTGTGCTGTTGTTGCAAAAGGGGTTGTTATGCTGACAATGGAGATCACAAATCCTCGAAGTGGAGAGGTTATTGTTGGTGTGGATTACCGAAAAACAGTTTGCAGGAGAGAGTTACGCAGTCGATATGTGAAAAGGCAAGGCAGTTGCACGACGATCTCGTAAAGAACATGCCTGCAACAAGTGGTGATGCTTGAGATTTTAAGGCCAGCAAAGGTTGGTTTGAGAGATTTAAGAAGCATAGTGGCAGTCAGTGTGATGAGGCATGGTGAGGCTGCCAGTTCTGACAAAGTAGCTGAGAAGTTTGTACAGGAGTGAGTAGACACTGGAGAATTCAAACTTCAGCAAGTGTTTAATTGTGATGAAACTGGCATCTTCCAGAAGAGGCCTAAGAGGACCTACATCGTGCAGGAGGAAACGGCACTCCCAGGACACAAACCTATGAAAGACAGGCTTACTCTCATGTTTTGTAGTAATGCTAGTAGGGATTTTAAAGTGAAGCCTTTACTGGTGTATCACTCTGAAAATCCCAGAGTGTTCAAGAAATAGTGTCGCCAAGAGTAATTTGTGTGTGATGTGGAAGGCTAACAGTAAGGCGTGGGTCACGAGGGGAATTTTCCTAGACTGGTTTAATGAAGTGTTTGGCCCCAGTGAAGAAACACCTCCTGGAAAATAAATTGCCACTAGAGTGCCTGCTGGTAATGGACAACGCTCCTGCTCATCCTCCAGACTTGGAAGAGCAAATAGTGGAGGAGTTTAGTTTCATTACTGTGAAGTTCTTGCCTCCTAATACCACTCCTCTCCAGCCCATGGACCAGCAGGTCATTTCAAACTTCAAAAAAACTGCACCAAAGCAGTGTTTCAGAAGTGCTTTGAAGTGACCTCACACACTGAATTGACTGTAAGAGTTCTGGAAAGATCACTTTAATATCCTCCATTGCATAAACCTTATAGGTAAGTATTGGGAGGGAGTTACTTCCAGGACTGAACTCTGCTTGGAGAAATTTGTGGCCAGATTGTGTACAAGAGGGATTTTGAAGGGTTTGTGGCTGACCCTAAGGAACCTATGCCAGTTGTGGAAACTGTTGTGGCATTGGGGATGTCCCTGGGGTTGGAGGCGAGTGGTGAGGATGTGGAAGAGTTGGTGGAGGACCACAGGGAAGAGCTAACCACTGAAGAGCTGCAAGAGCTTCATCTGCAACAGATCACAGCTCATGAAACTGCTGCAGAGGAGGAGGAAGAGAGATGGAGGAAGGTGCCTTCTTCAAAGATTAAGGACATTTGTGGAAAGTGGATGGAAGTGCTAACATTTATGGATAAACTTCACCCTAACAAAGCTGCTGCAGGCCGTATTGGCAACATATACAATGACAGTGTTGTGTCCCACTTCAGGGAAATCTTAAAGAAACACCAGAAACGGACCCCTCTGGACAGATATTTTGTGCAACAGGGGTCCAGTGACTCAAGCTGGTCCCAATGGCATTAAAAGAAGGGAAGTAACCCCAGATATGGACTTCATACCTGAAGTCCTAATGGAAGGAGATTCTCCTTCCAAAAAAGTGTACACCTTCCTCCTATCCCCTCCTCCCATCTTCCATCCACGCAGAAGTTTTCAGTAAAGGTAAGTGTAATGTTATTTTTTAAATGCATGTACTTGATTTCTGATTGTTTTCATTATGTAAATCTTTATTTAATTTGAGAAAAAAAATTTATTTTAATATTTTTGGGTGTCTGGAACAGATTAATTTTATTTCCATTATTTCTTGTGGGGAAAATGGTTGTTTCATGAATTTCGACCTGCGGCAGGCTCTCTGGAATGGATTAATCACGAAACTCGGGGGGGGGGGGGGTGTACAGTGGACCCCCGGTATTTGATATTAATCCATTCTTGAGAGCTCATCGAATACCGAAAATATCGAAAAGCGAATCAATTTTCTCCATAAGAAATGATGGAAATCAAATTAATCCGTGCAAGACACCCAAAAGTGTGAAAAAAATTTTTTTTACCACATGAAATATGTATTAATTTTAATACACAAACTGAAGAAGACATGCACAGTTACATGACACTTACCTTTATTGAAGATCTGGTGATTAATGGGATGGGAGGAGGGGGGTGTGCGGATGGTGTTAGTGTTTAGAAGGGGAGTCCCCTTCCATTAGGACTCGAGGTAGCAAGTCCTTTTCCGGGGTTACTTCCCTTCTTCTTTTAATGCCACTAGGACCAGGTTGAGTCACTAGACCTCTGTCGCACAAATCTGTCCATAGAGCTCTGTACCTCCCGTTCCTTTACGATTTGTCTAAAATGGGCCACAACAGTCATTGTAATAGTCACCAGCACGGCTTGCAATAGCTGTGTTAGGGCGATTGTCATCCAGAAAGGTTTGCATTTCAACCCGCTGTGCACACATTTCCTTAATTTTTGAAGTAGGCACAATGGATTCCACAACTGGCATAGGCTTCTCAGGGTTAGCCCCAAACCCTTCAAAATCTTTCTTAATTTCCATACTAATTCTCCCCCTTTTTACCACAGGGTTGGCACTAGAAGCTTTCTTGGGGCCCATGGTGACTTATTTTGCAGAAACAAGCACCAAAAAGTGATATGGATAACGTGGAATGTACCGAATGTATCCTTAGATGCGTGCACACTGGCTGGCTTGTAAACACTGGCACACAAGGGGCAGTTCAGGCCACACGTGGGCACGTCTCGTACGAATCGTATAGAATACCGGGTTTTCAATCGGATACCGAGGCAAAATTTTTGCGTTAAAATGCATCGAATACCGGATTGATCGAATACCAGGGGCCCACCGAGTCTTTAAATCTGTGGTTACCTAACATTCAGTTTGCCTTTTGAGTGAACAACTTCCTTTGTTCTTTAAATAATGGGGCAGTGCAGTAGATGCACAGATGTATGCTTGTTAATGAAGTAGTTCCCCCCAAAATTGTCACTTGTGTACAAGATGAAATTAGATACAGTATACTATTTTCTGTAATACAGTAAGTAATTGGAAGAGTGCCTTGCTTGGCACTAATTTTTCTTATATTCAATGAAAGGACCATTATACACTTTGCTTAATAAATATTTCACAGGTTAATAGACTGTTATAATGGAAAGGTCATGTAGTAAAAAAATTTTTTTTTTTGTTCCAGAGTGTCTGGTAAAGAAAATGTGGGCCTGCAAGAGTGTGAAAAAGTGGAGGAAGAAATGGATGTGGAGGAAGTTGCTAAGGTGGAAGAGTTATCAGTTGCTTTTTCTACTCAGTGTCTCAATGTTGAAGATATAGATGCTGAAGATGGTGGAAACCCTCAGCTAGTGTCGGAGTATGTGAACGACATTTACAAATACTTAAGAGAATTAGAGGTAGGCTTGTAGTATGTTTATTGCTAGTAATTTTTTTTTTCTACTGTTTATGGTAGTGGTAAATTTAAAATTGGTACAAGATATGAAAAATTTAACTCTTAAAATGATATAATTTGGATGAAGATTCGTCCATTACTGTATTGTATACTCTTCCTATCAGCCAGTGTTGGCATCTTAATGTTTTCAGCTTTAGTCATAGCTTTTTTGGCCTAATGTTGTATGTTATATTTGAAAGCCATTTTATAGTTGGCTGTTTTAGTATGGATGTCTGAATTCAATTTATTCAATATAGTGATAGTTGCTTATTCTTGGATCCCTTTTTGTATGATCTAAAAATTTGTATGTGTAAAAGTGTGGCCCAATTTCTGCTATAATACTGAAACCATTTTTGAAGATTTATTTTGCAAAGGACTTTAATCTGTAAATAATTAATTTTTTTTTTCTTTATGGCAAGTCATTTTAAATAAAATAGCAAATGGTAAAATTAGTTGTTGTGGCATGCACTGGTAACTTTTGTCAGAGGATATATCCAATATCTAGCTAGCTTTTGGGAGAAGTTGCTTGCACAGCATCCTTCATCAATCTAATAGAGGCATGAAGGTGGCTTGGGACTGCCTTTCCAAACTCTTCAGGACAGCAACTTTTTAATTTTCAAAGTACATCTACAGGAAACCTACAAACAAGGATTATCTGATATTCTTAATCTTTATCTGTGCAGAATTTGTTACCATTTTCTTCACCCTTAAAATGTTTTGGGAAGAAATCCTCCAATTAAAAAAAAAAAAAAAAAAAAAAAAATCTAGTGCTGCAACAGTATAAAGTGACTAGTGTTGTATTCCTTTTGTAGTAATGTAGTTCAATACAAATGTAGTTTGCTGCAGACTTTTTTTGTTTTGCTCATTCCACAGGAGGGCAGCAAGGTACAACCTCGTTATTTGGACGGACAGGTAGTCACAGGAAAAATGCGAGCTATTCTCATTGACTGGTTGGTTCAGGTGCACCTACGCTTCATGCTTCTCCAGGAAACTTTGTACCTTACTGTGGCTATCATTGATAGGTATCTCCAGGTGGGTTGGTTTAACGAAAGTACAATATTTTTGTTCTTCAATTTTGTCAATTTTTTTAATAGCATTCTAAATTAAGAATGCTATTAAATTGTTTAAAGTATGATTTTCTCTGGTGAATGCAAAAGCTATCTGATCTTGCTTGCCAGTGTGTGTCTAATATGTAATGTTTTGGTGTTAAGTGCATTAATATATTTTTTTTTTTTCAACAAGTCTGCCGTCTCCCACCGTCTCCCTAGTGTATTAGTTGATATCAGTAACTAGTCAACTATTGAAAAGTTTGGATGTGTTCTTCTTTTCCCTTCTTTTACTCCCTTACCTAGTCAAAGGTTATGGGTTAAAAATGCAATACCTGCACCTTGCAACCATGTTAATATTCCTGGCATACAGAAATGGCCTAACCCCAGAACTTCGTTTCAGTAATGTAAAGAAACTTGTCAGTTTGCAAAATTTTTCTTGCAACAAGCCATTTCCCACCAAGGTAGGGTAGCCTAAAGAAAAGTTAAAAGGTCCTACACTGAAACATCCTTTACATTTTTCAGTTTACACTTCTTCCTACCTCCCAAACTACTCCGGCTAACCAGTTTTCCTGAATTACTGCACTTGTAAGGGGATACCTTGCTTGGTGTAATCATAAACACTACCAATTCACTTGAATCTATATTGCTTGATGTTTAACCTATCTACCACTTAAAACTGCCTTCCAGTGAGGTGCACTAATGTTGTGCTAGTATATTGGCATGGGAGTAATTTTAACCCTTTCGAGGGTTCTGATGTACTAGGACAGCTGACGCACCAGGGTTATTGACATACTAGAACGCCTAAATTCTAGTGCCTTCAAATCTAGCGAGAAAGCTGGTAGGCCTACATATGAAAGAATGGGTCTGTGGTCAGTGTGCGCAGTATAAAAAAAAATCCTGCAGCACACAATGCATAATGAGGAAAAAAACTTTGACAGTGTTTTTGGATTAAAACGGCGACTTTGCACTGTATTTTCGTATGGTATTTATGATGGTATTCTAGTTTTCCTGGTCTCATTTTATAGAATGGAAGACATATTACAGAAATTGAGATGACTTTGATTGGTTTCACAATGAAAAGTACCTTGAAATTGAGCTCAAAGTAGCAGGAATGTTCAATTTTTACCAAAGTTCAAAAGTAAACAAATCGTGCCAAGCGTCCAATACACATCAACTGGCGAGTCTAATATTCTTTTACAAGTGCGTTGATATTATTTATACCATTTCTACACTAATGCAGTATTTTGCATAACAGTTAATCTTCTAATTTTTTTTTTTTTAGTATAAAAATTCAAAGTGGAAAGCAAAAGAAATGTAAGAGGGGCCTGGGGATGTGACTAATGAACAGAGAACTTACTTTAGTGCCAGGAATGTCTCTTGTATATTCTGGACCCTATTTGGAAATTGGCATCTTCTGAAATTTGTGTGAAATTGGCAAAATTGCCAATTTCTAACTGCTTTATTGCATAGTTGAAATTGGTAAATAGGTGGTTTCTTGTACTCATTCAATAGAAAAAATGGAGTTCTAGCAAAATACGTAAATATGATTTTTGACTAGTACACAGGAATTGGCCGAAAATAGGGGTCAAAGTGGGCAAAATCGCCGAAGCGTAAACATCATTGAGACCGCTAACTTTGGGAGAGCATAATTCTGTAAGTTTTCCATCAAATTTCATACTTTTGGTGTCGTTATGATCGGGAAAAGATTCTGTCATTTCATAAGAAATTTTTTTTTTCCCCCGAAAATTTTTTGACCCTGAGAACGAGTTTAGGAGAGGGCCTCTCAACCCGGGAAGGGCTAATAAAGGTTACTTAAACTTGGGCAGTTGAAATGAAGCTGTAGTTGCATAATCTGTAGAGCTTTGGAATTCACAATGCCAATGCTTGGGTTCCTAGAGGCCTAATGAATTGTAAGCTATAAATAAGAAAAAAAAAATTAAAAGGGGAAAGGTTTCAAAGAAATACCATGGGTGGTTTCACTTGTATGTTTTTTGGCTATTTCAATAGATCTGATCTGGTTAGCAACATTTAAAATATGTTTTGGCACATTTTGAACAAAATACTGTTAGTCAGTTTTCAGCTTGGGGCCACTTAGAACACTAGTGGCAGAGGCTCCATCTAACCACTAGTAGTAAGACCTCTCGGCTAGTCTTACCATAGTAAAAACAAACAAAAGGGTATCTTGAAGTCCACCTTTAATGGCTGATTTACATGAAAAAGTATCTACAAAGAAATGAATGTCTTTGGCAAGTAAATGTTGCTAGAAAATATTCATAAGCTTAGTGAATCTAGCCCATGAAGGGGAAAGAATGGCCATCTTTCATTTTCATAAGTCAGAGGTTTCGGCTTTAGGGGCTAGAAATATTTTCAAAAAATTTTCATACTTTGTTCGACTTAAGTTTTTTGTCAACTTCTAAATATTTCTAAATTGTAAATTGACAGTCTTCACCAAGGTTGACCCAAAGGAATCATTTGTCATTTGTTTAATTGCTGTCTTTGCAGGAAGACTGCAGTTAAACAACTGATTGATGTCGGCACATTTCCAGTTATCCTGACTGCAATTTCCCCTCCCCTCCTTCAGAGTGCAGGCACTTGCTTACCTTACCACCTCCAGGACTATTCCAGCTAACCAGTTTCCCTACACAAGTTACTTGCTCACTCGAACAGTGCATTCGTTGAAAACTGTCTCCATTCACTCCTAACATGCTCATACAATCCTGCAACATGCTCCTTTCCTCCCTTATCCCTAAAACTCAACTTCTCACTCTCCAACCATTGGTGGGATGATACATTTTTCCCCCTACCTTCCATCCCAGATTTGTATTTGTCAACCTATCCTTGTCTATCCTTCCTACATGCACAAACCTCAACACCTACTCCTCTTCAAGGGGGGGGCTCCCCCCAATATCCTCTTTGCTATCCCATCCTTCCCCATTTTCCTTTCCTCCTCCTCCCCACCCCTCCCTTTTGCCCTTCCTCTTTTTGGCCTTTGGGATTTTTCCCACAGGCACACTAGTTCATAGGTAGGGGTAAGGGTACCGGGGTCCATCCCATTCCGTTGAGGTTCTTGGCGGTGGCGTAGTTTGCCGTGGGATCTGGATCGCCTGGGGATGTCCCGATCCCTCTCCGGTATCCCGGAGGGTGACTTTGGGTGTCTTTCGGGCGACGGGTGTATCTCTGGAAGCCACCTTTCGGATTCCGGGGGTGGTGGCCGAAGGAGGTATGCTTTGTGGCGGATATCTGGCCGCCCTCTTTTGTCCACCGAGGTAGCTTGGCAGATGTGAGGTTGCTATCCCGGATTGCTGGTTTACTGGCATGAAGGGTAGGGTATGGCACGGGTTCCATGCTGCATCTGCGCTACTTGCGGTGCTGAGGTCTTCTTGGGCGCGGAGGGAGATTTCTGACCCTTTCATTCCTCCTAGAAACTATCCCTCCCTGGTCCCCCCCCTTTTTTTATTCTTTTTTTTTTTTTTGTTTTTGTTTTAAAGAAAAAAAAAAAGTAACCTAACCATGGAGTCCCAAATCCATGACCCTGCTACCCCCGGGCCCCTTATTGTTACCGCACCGTTCTGACCTCGCCTCATCTTTTGGCCACTCTTTGGACACTCCTAAGGCCCCCGTACCTCTTGCTGATGCTGTTTCCTCACCCGCTTCAGGTACCGGGGCTTACACTGACTCCTTCGATTTCTGACCTCCGCTCTCCTTTGACTATGCTTCCAGCCTCTCCCTCTATGGTGCGACGATTTTTGAATCGCCAGCCCGTCTCACGTCGGACCAACTCTGGTCCCACTCCTAAACGCCAATGACAATCTCCTGACGATGTTACTTCGTTACCTTCCCATTCTACTCGGAAAAGATCGACACGTCATGCACTCCCTCTCCACACTCGGTTTCGGACCACACATTGGACTAAGTTCTTTACTTTACGACAGACTTCTTCTACTGCCTATCTTTCTGACCATAGTACAGTACAGTGGACCCCCGCATACCGATTTTAATCCGTGCAAGAGGGGTCATTGGTATGCGAAATAATCGGTATGCGAATGAATTTTCCCCATAAGAAATAATGGAAATCAAATTAATCCGTGCAAGACACCCAAAAGTATGAAAAAAAAAAATTTACCACATGAAATGTTAATTTTAATACACACAAACTGAAAAAGGCATGCACACTCACATGACACTTAGTTTTATTGAAGATCTGGTGATGATTGATGGGATGGGAGGAGGGGAGAGTGTGTTAGTGTTTGGAAGGGGAATCCCCTTCCATTAAGACTTGAGGTGTCGAGTCCTTTTCTGGGGTTACTTCCCTTCTTTTAATGCCACTAGGACCAGCTTCAGAGTCACTGGACTTGTTTCGCACAACATATCTGTCCATAGTGGCCTGTACCTCTCGTTCCTTTATGACTTCCCTAAAGTGTTTCACAACATTGTCAGTGTACAGGTTGCCAACACGGCTTGCAATAGCTGTGTGAGGGTGATTTTCATCAAAAAAGGTTTGCACTTCAAGCCACTTTGCACACATTTCCTTAATCTTTGTAGTAGGCAACTTCTTCAATTTCTTTCCCCTCCTCTGAACCAGTTTTCTCAGGTCTGGCCTCTTGCTGTTGAAGTTGATCTATCAGCTCATCAGTGGTTAGTTCATTGTCCGCCTCCACCAACTCTTCCACATCCTCCCCACTAACCTTCAACCCCAAGGACTTTCCCAATGCCACAATGGATTCCTCAACTGGCATAATCCTCTCAGGGTTAGCCTCAAACCCTTCAAAATCCCTTTTGTCTACACATTCTGGCCACAGTTTCTTCCAAGCAGAGTTCAAGGTCTTCTTAGTCACTCCCTCCCAAGCCTTACCTATAAGGTTTACACAATTGAGGATATTAAAGTGCTCTCTCCAAAACTCTTAGTCAGTTGAGTTTCTGAGGTCACTACAAAGCACCTTTCAAACAGAGCTTTTGTGTACAGTTTTTTGAAGTTTGCAATAA